AAAATTTTAAAAAAAAAAATTTAAAAAGAAAAAAAGAGGCCGGGGATATAGCTCAGCGGCACAGCACCTGCCCGGCAAGCGCAAGGTCCTGAGTTCCATTCCCGATACAAAAAAAAGACAGAAAAAAGAAAAACAAGCCGGGCGTGGTGGCTAAGACACATTCCCAACGCTGGACGATGACCTTGGTCACCAAGACTGATAATGAGGGCTACAGGGAACCGAACAGCAAGCTCTTGGAAGTAAGCCTTGTCTACCTCTGCCCCTTACCCCGCCCCCACCTACTCCCTGGCTACGTCCCTAAAATTTACTTCCGCAGTCCGGGTACCCGTTTGTCCTGTCATGCCTTCACAAACGTGCTGTCCGCAAAGTGTGAAAGCGTCCTTCCTTCAGACTTCGCCTGACACCATCTCCACACGCAGGGAAAGTTAACAAAACTTTAATGCTTTTCTTTTGCCCATCACCTGTCTTGTGAATTGTGTTCCAAGATCCGGCGAAAGACCTCACACAGGAACTAAAGCTTCCAGAGAGGAGCTCTTCCCGCAAAGTCAACCAGTGCGTGCCAATCCTAACCTAAAAGAGCCTTCTTGTGCCTCCTGGTGCTCTCTGTACTCGGTGCTGCTGAGCAACTCTTCCTCCCTTTCTTCTTCCTAAAAACTGTTAAGGAACAGAAAACCCAACACAATCTAATTTTATTTTCTTCTTTTTTTTTTTTTGTCTTTTTGAGACTGGGTCTCCCTATGCAGTTCAGGCTGGCTTTGAGTGCACTTTGTAGCCCAGGCTGGTTTCAAACTCGCAGCAATCCTCCTGCCTCAGCCTCCCCAGTGCTGGAATTACAGGTGTGCACCACCACCCCCGGCCACAATCTAACTGAAACATAAAGAATAATACAGTACACTACAGTAAGAGTATAAACACATGTGTAGGGATGATAAACACCATACTCGGGATAAGCATCACCTCTTCTGTGGAGTAGAGAAGCTGCAGTTTGAAATGGGTACTGTTTTGGTTTAAACGTAAAGTGTTCTCTAAATTCATGTGCCAAGCTTGGTTGGCAGCGGGCAGGCCTTTGGAGGTGATTGGCTCAGGGTGGTATTTCACCTTCTCTGCTTCCTGGCTGCCTCGGGGGCAAGCAGCTTTCCTCTCATGCACCTTCGGCCTGAATGTTTTGCCTCACTGTAGGCCAACAGCTATGGAATCACACATTTCTTTGAGTTACTTATCATTTACTAGTGTGTGTTTTCTTAAGGTCAGCTGGCTTCTTAGTGGGTTAAAACAACGTCTGGCTATTATCAACTAGGTTAAAATGGAAGGTATTTGTACATATCTGTGTAGAGGAAATTTAAAAAAAAAACAAAAAACAGGGTCTCGCTATGCAGTTCAGGCTGGCTTTGACCCCAGGCTGGTCTCGAACTCGCAATAATCCTCCTGCCTCAGCTTCCTGCTGGAATTACAGGCATGTGCCACCCCTCCGGGCTAAGGCTTTTTGGTTTTTTTTTTTGCCCCGGGGGGGGGGGGTTCTGGTACCAGGAATCGAACTCACAACCTTGTGCTTGCCAGGCAGGCGCTGTGCCGCTGAGCTAAATCCCCAGCCTCTGAGGCAATTTTAAATGTAAAGGAAATCTTAAAACTTGTATTTCTAACACTATACAAGGATGGAACTGAGGAGGAAAAAAAAAAAAAAAAGGATGGAACTGCGACGACGTGCAGCCTGTTCCCACAGTTAGAGAATTAAAAACCTTAAGGAGCCTGAACATTCCAGTGCCAGCTGCAAGGTGAGTGTGGCTCAGCCGGGGGTGCATCCTGTTATGCTGTGCTTGCTTTCAACATTTTCAAAGACATCACCTCAAGGACAGCTCGGCGCAGTCTTAGACAACATTTTATTCTTCCTGCTCACCATAGTCTGGACCTCCTTGTTATGTGATAGTAACCCCAATTAGCCTACATAGGATAAATTTTGCCTAACATGTACCACAAGACATATGTAACCCACTGTAGACTCTCCTGTTATCTGCCTTTTGTACTTCCTCCTAAACTCTATATAGGTAACTGTTTTACTCCAAGACAGGGCTGGTGGTTTGCACCTCAGGGTCCCCCAGTCCGCTAGTGTAATAAAGCTGTCGGCCTTCCAAAGTTCCCCAGGGCCGTGCCATCCCTCCGGTCTGATCCCGAGATCTGCAACATTTGAAGGTTGGAGATGTGGTACCCAACTAACAGTACTGCTTCTTTGAGGGCGGAAGTCCTTGGAATTTATGGATTTGTAGTATCAGAAGAAAAACACAAGCCACAGTTATAGACTTGCTATATCTTTAACACTCTTAGGGATCTAGGAGTGAGGAACTAGAAGAAAAACAGGCTGAGAGGTGAAAAGGGCATTATAATCTGAGTAAATCTGGTGGTGTCCGGAAGCTGCCGTTTTCTTAAAAGTGCAACTTAAAATGATCATTTTCATTGCCTCCTTTCTACTTTTCCTTCTTTCTCCTCTCCCGCCTCTTCGACAGAGACCACCGTGGGGACAGAGGACAAATTCCTGGCCTCTTAACCTGTTCCTCAATAAAAGCATGTTCTGTGTCTTCTTCTGAGATGGGCTTGAGGCAGGAGAATAAGGCAGGGCTAAACCAGCTCAGGAGGTAGGAGTCACCTATTCGGTACAAATCCCAGGACGTGTGCACAGAACAGCTCCCAGGCTCTGCGCGTGGACCCCTCCTGAGAACTCCCAGACCTGCCGTCAGCCCGAGGAGTGGGAGATACAAAAAGGACAGCTGACCCTGAGCTTTTCGCCTCTGTGCTTTTCCTGCACGGTGGTCTGCTCCCACCCTGTAGAGTGAGCTTGTTTTCCTACCCTTACGTGGCCCAGACCTGCCCTGCAGGGCCTCTTTCCTTTACTGCCTTTCATAAATGTAAAACCTTGCGATTGTTCACCTCGTCTTGGCTGGTTCTTTGCTCAGGACAGAAAAAACCTAGAAACCACCTCTAGAAGGAGACTCCAGCATCCCAAACCCTGAAAACAGTCTTGAGGTAGGATAGAAGACATAAAAACTAGGCAGAAGGAAAAATCATGCTTTTTTAAAAAAAAGAAAGTTGCATCTTCAGGACAGAATCTCCAGGTTTGTTTGTTTGTTTGTCCTTCACTTCTCCCAGAACAGAATAAGCCTGGGCAATTCCCTTTCACCTACAAAAGGTTCGGCCTTTCCCTTTCTAACTTGCAAATGGCTCGCTTTCACCTGTAAATAGATCACTTTTCCGCCTGTGAATCGGGGTTTCCTGTATAACTGGACCATTATCTTACTGTGGGTAGGCCATCCCCTCCCACCCTCGGGACAGGACTAGACTACAGAGTATCAAATTCCACACATTTCCACGGCGGACACACACAAATTTCCCAGGGCAGTGTGTCTCATCTCTCTGAGCGCCTGCACTTCACTTGGAGTTTCCAAATCTCTGCCTAATAAACTTTTCCAAGCTCTTTACTGATGCATTTTCCCACACCTGCAAACTTCTTCACAAAGAGTGATTTCAGTTCCTTATTTCCACCCCTGAACCTGCTCAGACCCAGTCTGGCACTGTAGGAGACCGTGACTGACCTCCATCGTATATTAGTAGCCGTCTTACGTGCCTTTCCCTTTAAGTAAGGACTGCCTACCGTTGCCTAGCTACTCCCGCCTCAAGAACTAGGACACCCACCGTTACCTAGTTACTCCCGCTTTGTCGGGTTACTTGGTTACTCCCGCCTTAGAACTTCCATGTTTCTCCATGCCGTATATAAGCACGGCACTTCCCGCTAATAAACGAGACTTGATCAGAGCACTGTCTTGTCTCCATTCTTCCTGTCTCTTGTCCCTTTATAATCCCCACTCCCCCTCTAGGGTTCACATTGTCTGTACCTGCAGGTCGGGACAAGTGGCGCCACAACGTCGGGCTCCAGCACGGGGGAATTTAGTGACGGACGCTGTTCAAGAGGCCGGCAAAAATAAAAGTGAAAGAAAGAGGATGAGATCGCGTGGGAACCTGCTATGCTTTCTGGACCTCGGTAAGTGAACAGCGATTATAGGACAAGAAATAAGTCAATATGAAATGTTTGTTCAAGGCTTAGGAAAAGTCTTAAAGGCACGAGGAGTAAAGGTTAAAATTAAGGGTTTGTGTGAGTATTTTGACTTTATTGAACAAGTGTGCCCCTGGTTTCCTGCTGAAGGAATTATCAACACAGAACGGTGGGAAAGGGTCGGTCTTGCCCTCAAAGACCATTATGACACCGTTGGACCCGAAAGGGTCCCTAGAACTATTTTTTCTTATTGGAAGGTGATAGATGAAGTTCTATCACAGAGACTCATTGACCCAGTAGCTGCTAATGTAGTTAAAAGAGCAGAGTATATATTACTACGAGAATTTAAAGAAAAAAAAACTGATTTAGAAAACAAAGATAAGAAACAAACTAAAATAATTGATGGGGATGAGGACTTCATGTCCTCTGAGAGTGATTCTGAGGAGAATACTATAGAAACTACTAAAAGTACGGACCCGCCAAAGAGTCCGAGTCTCATGTTAAAGACAAAGGTTTCAGAGCAAGAAAGAAAAGGGGCAAACACATTAGAAACTAAAATAGCCCTAGAGGAAAAACCCAAGCCTTGTGATTTAGAGGGACTCACACAGCCAAACCCAAAAATAAGATATATCCTGATTTACAAAGCTCTTTGGGGGCCATTGTAAATGATGATAATACTAATGGGGATGACTTAGCAGAAGGGGCTGCCAGATATCATAATCCTGATTGGTTAACTAATGCCCCACGTCCTCCGCCATACTGCAACAATCCTACTGCTCCTCCCTTGGATTGTCTGGTTGTTGACCCCAGAAAGGAACTTAGGGACAAAATAGAGCTGTTAAAGGAACAAATAAAATTAGAAAAGGAACATCAAGACTTGATAGCCCAGCTAGAAAGCCTAAAAATAGGAAAATCTAAGTTTGATAATGTGACCAAATCCGGAGCCCCCCTCAGGCAGCAACCGCCCATGAGAAGCGCAGGCTCCAAATGCATCCCTCTTTTTGATTCTGTTTCTACATTAGATGAGAGGGAGGTGTTCCCAGTAACCGAGACAACAAACGCCCAAGGTCAGGTCTTTCATAATCATACTGGTTTCGATTTCAAAGTACTGAAAGAGTTAAAAGCAGCTGTGGCTCAATATGGAGCCACTGCCCCGTATACTACCGCTATTTTGGACTCCATAGCTGACCAGTGGCTCACACCTATAGATTGGCAGACGTTAGCTCGAGCGACCCTCTCAGGGGGGGATTATCTCTTGTGGAAATCAGAATATATAGAAAACTGTAAAGAGACTGCCAGACGCAATGCACAGGCTGGCAATGGATGGAATTTTGATATGTTAGTGGGAGAAGGTCCTCACGCAGACAATCCCGCCCAAATGCAGTTTGATGTAGGACTTTTTGCTCAAATTCAAACAGCAGCCACCAGGGCCTGGAAAAAGCTCCCCGCAAAGAGGGAGACAAGTTCCTCTCTTACAGGCATTAAGCAAGGGCCTGAGGAACCTTTTGCAGACTTTGTTCACCGCCTAATTACCGCAGCTAACAAAATTTTCGGCAACGCAGAGGCAGGTACAGACTTTGTCAGACAGTTAGCCTTTAAAAATGCTAATGCAGGGGCTGGGGATTTAGCTCAGCGGCAAAAGCGCCTGCCTGGCAAGCGCGAGGTCGTGAGTTCGGTTCCCGGTACCGGAGGAAAAAAAAAACCAAAAATAAAAATAAAAATAAAAATAAAAATGCTAATGCTGCATGTCAGGCAGCAATTAGGCCCTACAAGAAAAAAACGGACTTAACAGGATATATACGTCTTTGTTCTGACATTGGGGCTGCTTATCAGCAGGGACTTGTTATGGCTGCCACCCTACAGGGCTTTACGGTTAAACAATTTCTATCTCAAAAAATAAGCAGAAATGTTTTTCCTGTGGAGAAGCTGGGAGGAAATCCTCATTTTGTAACTGGATAACTTCAAATCCCCTCCTCTTAGAGTAAACTCGGACTTCTATTAGTTTGCTAAAAGCGGTGTTTGAGATTTACCGCCCCACCTGGGGTGATTGTCAACAGATGTTAACCTTAATTTCTTCAAAAAATAAAGGGATTTCTTAAAGGTGACTGAGAAACAAATGAGATTAAATACAGAAAAAATCGTCAGGCTTCAAAAAGGATTTCTTTCTGTAGCTCGTCATCCCACTGACCTACAAGGTGACAAAAGTGTCACAAGCTACAGAAATTAAAAGGTATTACAGAGATGAACTTGTCCCAGCTGGTAGAGATTACAAAAATTCGTTTCATGACAAAAAAAAAAAAAAAAAAGGTTAAGCTGGATCTCAATGAAATGCTAATAATGATTTTTTATTTATATGCCTGTTAAATTACAAAATACAGGATTAGATCTGCCTGTGGCTTACA